AAAAAATAAAAGTTGTATTCTAATATCCTAAAAATAAATAAATAGTGTAAGCATGTAGATACTTAAAAAAGATTTTTTGTCTTTAATTTTTGGCATTTTAATTATGATGTATCTTGTTGTGGACTTCTCTGGGAGACTCTCTGCACTTCTCGAATTTGTATGTCTATGTCTTTCACTAGTTTAGAGAAATCTGGGGGCATTATGTCTTCAAACAGATTTTCAATCCTCTGCCTGCACACACTTGCTCCTCTCTCCCTCCTTCTGGTAACCCTGTGGGTATGCATGTTGGTATGCTTAAGCGTGTCCCAGAAATCCCTTAAGTGGCTCACTTGTTAAAAGTTTTACTTAAAAATAAAAGATTTATTTTTAAAGAGAGGAAAGGTAGCAAGAAAGGGAGAGAAATGTTGATGTGCAAGAGAAACATCCATTGGCTGCCTCTTGTACTCCTTAACCAGGGGCCTGGTCCTCAATCCACGCATGTGTCCTGACCAGGAATCAAACTGTTGGCCTTTCAGTGAGCGAGACTTTGCCCAACTCACTGAGCCACACCAGTCAGGACTCTTTTTTCTTTTTGCTGCTCTGACTGGATGTTTTTCACTAATTTGTCTTCCACGTGGCTTTCATCCTCTGCCTCATCTAATCTTTATTTCAGTTATTGCATTCTTCAGTATGATTGGTTCTTTATTTTTCTGTCACCTTGTTGAGGTTCTCGTTAAGTTTATCTGTATGTACAATTTTTTAAACTTAATTTTAGCTTAGCTACTGGTGTGCTAACTATATTAACCTCGCTAAAAAATAAACATAAATGAATGAGTGCATAGGTTAGTGATAAAATAACTGATTTAAACCCTACCGCACTAATACTTACTAGCTGTGAAGACTTTGGTTAAATCACTAAACTTTGTTGTATTGTACTTTCTTCCATAAATTGACATTAAAGTACTTATTTAAGATTGGCTGTGAGGAATAAAATTATGTCTTAAGCTATATTATATGGTAAATTTACATTTACTTACATTTTATAATTACATTCATATAAACTACTTAACCTACTATATCATATAAAATATGATACACAGGTACATAAATTGTTATATATTGTATCTCTTATGTATAATCTACATGTTTATATTGAAAATACTTAGCACAACATTTGGACCATAGTATGTGATCCACAAATTTTAAATATCATTATTTTGTACAATCTGAGACATAAACTCTAAACTTACTTAATAGTTCAGTGACAATACTTGGGATGGACATCAGGACTTTTAAAGATATTCTCAACTATATCTGAGATTTAAATGACCAAAATAATATAAATTTAATTAAGGCATAAAAGAAATCTGAATTATTGAGTTGGCCAAAACGTCCATAAAATAGAAGATACATTCTTCATTTTAACCAATAACTTGATTAATTTGGATATTTTGAGTACGTCAGCTATCTCCCATTATTGAATTCTAGTGGGTAGAGGCCATGGGTGCTGCTAAACATCTTCCAATGCATAAGACAGCCCCACAGCAAAGAATTATTTGGCCAAATTGTCCCTAGTACCAAGAAACTTCACAAACCACTCTGACGCATTTGATCAGTTACAGAACCTTCTCCACACACTGCACAAATCTTTGTGTTTCAGTTGTATTTTTACCTTTCTTAAAATAATAAAGCATTATACACAGAAAATGGTGAATATTTTCTTCTATCTTCAATATTAAGTTTTTAAAAAACTACATGGGGATAGAACAGCTGTCACAATACAATCTAATGAAATGGTTTTGAATGAAGTTAAAGATAACTATGCACTATGGGAGCCATCATATGGAAAAACCTAAACAAACTTTTTGGCCAACCCAATACATTATTATTAAGGCTGTGTTTTTCTAAGTAGGATCAATTAATTCTGGAATTCAATTACACCATAAAATTGAATTGCTGCCACTAAAGATACTAAAGATGCACTAATTTAGATGGAGATGATTTAATACATAGTTTTCACTAAATACAAATAAATAAAAAATCTTCACATATGCTGTGGTAGATACTTATGATAGTTAAGGTTATGGCTATAATATACAATGTTTTAATGGTTATTAAAGACCATTACTATAAGATTTATAAGAAGAAAAGACTTCAGGTTCTGTGGTAAGAAAAAAAAAACCCAGGCAGTCCAACTATGGGAGCTACAGCACCGCAATTTTCCTGTTGAAAAACACAAAACTCTCACATACATAATTTATCTTAAAACATCACAACACAATTCCAACCATTCCAAATGAGATCTTAATAGAGATAAGTATAGAATATTTGGTCTTAATATAAAATTTATTCAATACTCATTACTTTTCCTTTAAGCTAGTAAAGGAAAAGCAGTATTGGAGTTAATTGCTTTCATAATGAAACCTCCTTAATTTTGTCTGTGTCTTTGGCAATAAGGTCTTTTAGCAGTTACAAATATACTTCATAAAAGTTATATGCTGAAATTATTGCATTATTCTCAAGTGTTGCCTTGAACTGCCTTCTAAATACTAACAATATGAAAAGTCTCAAGAGCTCATGCTGCACTGCATCAGCACAAGCACATCATTATGACTTTGTTGTTCTACTATAAGTTGGATTCCCTGAGTTTTTAAAGAATGATATTCAAACTGTAGCTAAGTATAACAAAGAAAAGCAACCTGTAAAATGTGTAAAAACTCAAACATAGCTGATAATAGCCATGAACACCATATGAATAATATAACCATGTGAAGAAATAAGCAGATTACAAGCACAAAAAAAGTCTGCCCCATATGCAGGCTGGTTAAATCCACTGATTTCTGATTAACTATCATTGCTACATTTGAAATATTCTAGCCCTGGCTGGTGTGGCTCAGTGGATTGAGTGCTGGCCTGAGGACCAAAGGGTCACCAGTTCGATTCCCAGTCAGGGCACATGCCTGGGTTGCAGGCCAGGTCCCCAGTAGTGGGCACACAAGAGGCAACCACACATTGATGTTTCTCTTCCTCTCTCCTTCCCTTCCCCCTCTCTAAAAATAAATAAATAAAATCTTTCAAAAAAAAAAAAAAAAAGAGAATACTTTAATCCTCTCCCCCCCAATTTTTAGAATTGTAAATATTTGGAAGGTTCTTTGTATGTGCAGATATACATATACATGCACACATCTATTTTAGATAACTGGACAGGGAACACAGTTTTATATAAAGTTATATTTTAGAATTCTTTAGAAACAGACTTTGCATAGAAATCTTACACATAAATTAGTCACTATCAGTCATTTAGATCACCACAAAGACCAGAGAAAACTGAATTATAACACGTAGCAACTATATCAGAATCCTGAACAGTCATCCTAAAGAGCCTTAATAAAAGCACTTACTAAGAAATAAAAGCTGTCAGAGCCCTCAAGGAACAGAGCACCAGTGTCAAATTCCTGATGGAAACCCCTAATTCGGAAGGCGAGCCCGAGCCCTCTGCTGGAGTACGGTTAACAAGTGACGGCTTGGTGGCCCTCCAGGTTGCATGTGAGCAAATACCTTGTTGGAAAGAGTATCTTATTTTCTGTGGTTTGACCTTGTTTGTAAAGAGACTTCGGGGAGTGTGTTGAAATATTTGATGTTACAGCTAGCTGAAGCTCTCTGAATAATAACCAGGACTATTTTATCACTCAGGTACAAGCCGCTTCAGGCTTCTGGTAAATGCCGATTTGGGGATACTTCCACAAGGTTTGTGACTCAAGGTTTATCCGTACAATTTCTAGAGCAATGCTAATCAGAGTTCCACCAGTGGAAATCATACATGTGAAAGATGTTCCTCTGGGCTCTATAACACCCACATATTATAGAACTGTAAAGAAGCTATGAAAATAGGGCATTTTGGTCCCAACTCTTCCCATAACTTGCATATATATTTCTTTTAATCCAGAGTTGCTGGTACTGAATGTGTTATTTTAAATCAGTAATGGTGCTCTCCTCCAAGTGATACTGGGACATTATTAAGGGATTTCCTTCCTTCTTATACCTACAGGCTGTCGGGCATGGTGCCCCCTCTTTCTGACGTTCACACTTTTTCATCAATCTGGAAATCCACTCTTTTGACTGAAGACTACAGTGTTTTGATGGTTACCCATGAATATAGCTGAAATCTTGGAAAGACCAGAATTGGTAAGAGAGCACTGACCAAAATGTGAAAAGGTTAATAAAATTTTCTATGCTCTCCTGAGTTTTATTCAAAGTGTTAAAACTTACAAAGCTATAGAAGGATTTCAACATCTCCCAGGCATGTTATAAAATATGTAAGTACTGTGTTGATAATTCTTAATCAGTCATTACTTAATTTGATTCAGAACTTAGAAAATATATGGCTATCACTAATAACAGATCTGTGAACTGAGGTTTGAACTATAGAAAAAAATCTTGAAAAAGGATAAAAATCTAATAGGAAAAATTCTGATGTTTATAATTATGAGAGAAAAATATCATTCATATTGTTCAAAAATATGGGTTTTAAGTATGGCTTGTATTTACTAAAATGGTGTATAAAGAGGGTATGTCCTTCTACTTACTGGTGGCAGTGAATCAGTGCATGGTGGCCCTAAATAAGCTATCAAATTAATAATTTGGTGCTAATATTAATTCTAAAGTGATTTCTTCCTTTAATGGAGAAACAAGAGAATGAGGCATTACAGTGTCTATACAGACTTCTCTCTTTTCCAGTATCTGGTAAGGCAAAAACAAGTTCGAGAATGAATAGATTTTGCATTAGAGAACATGCTCTACTGACTGATCAAAGATAATATTATGGCTAGACTTTTTTTATTTCCCATGAGGTAATTTTATAGGCAGTCTTCTTATAACACAAGCTTTATAAGCAAGTTGCAAAGGTTAAAAATCCCTTCTTAGGCTGGCAGTGCTCATTAAATTACATAATGAGTAAAAGGGTACTCCAAAAGCACTTTATAAGGGGAAGGTGTTCTTATTACTAATACTAGCCGACTCACCTGCAGATGAAGGAAGCTGGTCACACTCCTGTGATGCCCTGTTGGACTTGACACTCTCCCCTGGCAACCTCCTTGCAGGAGGCAAAGGAACTTGGCCACTTGCTGGATCAAAAAAGGGATCTTAAAAATAAAGATAATTTTCAAATTAGAATGACTTTCTCTGCTGGTTGACTGAAGGAAAAATTCTAGAAATTCTCTATAAAGATTCTACTTTTAGAAAATAATTTAGAAAACTAATTTCATAACTGATATTAACAACTTTTTAATCTACCAGCATATTTTTCTATTACTTGCTCAAATATACTCTTTCCATTTATGCCTAGTAATATAGTCATACAAATTTTATATTTATATTTTTCAGATCTTAGTTATGCAAAATTGTTGATAAAACTCCTACTAATTCTTATTTTCTGTCCGAATATTTCTTGTATAATGAATAGAAACTGTTGCAAAATTGAAAAAGGGGGGGTGTTGAACTTTTGTCTATAAGATTTGAAATCAGTGAGTCTCTCTCTAAGCAGTAGCAGGCAGTCTGTAAAACGAACTTTACACTGGTGATTTCTGAGGGTAGATGGATTTATGTATGTGAGCTCTCCTGTACATACAAGGTGCTTTATAAAGTAACACTAGATTGCATATCCTACGTTAAGAATTGTTTGTTGTAACTGGCTCACTGAATAGCAAAATAGATTGTTAAAGGTTGTATTATTAGTAACGTTTAAACATACAGTAAATTTTTTTTCACTACTTTGGCAGAGAGAGAGGGAACATCTGAAATAGTGAAAAATATAAATTACAGAGAAATTAAATTTTATTTTAGTACTTCTAATGATATTTATTAACTGGAACTAGAGTCAAAAAAAGAGATTTCGTCAATGCTACTATATCAAACTGTTAGGACCATGAACTTAACTGGTTTAAAATTAGTAGTGCATGGGCTTAATCCACAGAACTGATTCCTCTTCTGAGTGCACAAACGCTGCCTCTGCAATATCTGGTTCACTGACGACTTTCTGCCACCGCTTCCATCTCAGGCTCCTCTGGTTTCCTCTCTATGACTTACTTTGTCATCTGCCAGGCTCTCCAAAAGTGCAGTTAAGTTCTTTCGAGGTCACAGACCTCATCTTATTCATACTGTTTGAATTTAATCTCCTAACACAAACATAGTACCAAGAATGCTGTCAAGCAAATAGCCTGGATTTCATAAATATTTACTTTTAACTACAAAAAGTAAATGCTGACAGATTGATTTTCCACGAATTCAAAACAAACCTATGAATTTCACTGACAAATCCATGAAATCTGGATTTCTAACATAAGGCTAAAAATGTAAATAGTAAAGACCTAATTACAGTTCATTGTTTTAACTTCCATTTGAGTTTTTCATTCAGAATATGTAAGAGTTTGATTACTTAAGAAGGTAATACATGCTAATTTATACCAATTTTTCACTAGATAATGTAAGGCAACTATTGAAGTCATTGATTAATTTTGCCCCTATTTGAGTACAATAATTGTCCCCAGATTTGCTGGAGACTTTTTGACCTAAGAAAGGCTACTGAGCTTGCTTTCATTAATTTCAAGATTAAAATGAGTCTTAGATTTTGAGCTTTCAATATTTGAAGAGTTGGTGGTTCAGCACCATTAGCTTTGCTGAAATATTTTAGGAACATAAATTAAATTCCATGCAACAAGTGTTAATCTTTGATTAGGAAGAGTAACCAAAGGAACCAAATATGGTAATTTCTGCATAAAGTTAGAAATTTCCCAAGAATTTAGATATATTCAATGAAGTTTACTTTCAGTTCTTCTGCAATCTAAAACATCAATGACATAATAGGGTAGAGGGAAGATTATCTTTTACAATACATACACTTTTTAAATTTCCTTAGGGGTAATTTATAGGTTTGCCAGATATATGTATGCTATTTCTAATAACTATTTAAGGCCAACCATTAGATTCTAGATACACTGAGGAGCTATAAATAAAACACAAAATATACAGTTGTATGATGTTTTCCCATTAAACTACCTCACTTAAAAAGTCACCAGATACACTAAAACTATTACTATAAATTATAAAAATATTTGGAGTTCCGTTCGGAACCACTACCATGGTCTGTCATTCTGAGTTTGCTGCGTGTCAGGCACGGGGTAAACTGGGCTTTTATAGAAGGCTGTGCAGTTGGAAGCATTCATGCTTCAATGGGAAAAGGTATACTGCACAATTACTACAGAGTGCCGTAATTAACCGTCTCTTGGTAAGGAAAATTTGAAAAACAATAAAGTTGTTAAAAATAACTCTTCAAATACTAATTACAATAAAATTTTATGTTCATACTTAGAATTAGAACATACAAATTGAAATAACATAGCCAAATGTGCCATTAAATAGTAATACATGTTTGAGAAATGAATGAATAAACATCATGGGATTAATTTATTAAAAAAAGCAAAGTACTACGACCTGTGATTGACAGTATATAATGCTAAATTTAAAGTTTAATAATTATTTTAAAGATTATAAAATACTAAGGAAACACTAGAAGCAAATGTTGGCCAACTGTAACAGAAGTGGGAAAGATTTCTGGTAAAGATGGCAGAGTAGGTAAACACCGTGCTCGACTCCTCCCACAACCACATCAAATTTGTAACTAAATTATACAACCACCGCCACTGTAAACCACCTAAAATCTAGTTGATGTCCATAAGTCAAGACACGAAGAAGCCATGCGGAAATTGGGAGGAGAGATGGAGATGCAGAAGAGGCAGAACCCACAGTGTGGCAGTGAAGAACAAGGAGGGATATCTCAGCTGCGAAGGTGTCTCGAGAGAGCAAGGGGCCCCACCCCACGCCACGCTCCCTAAACCAGTGCTCCAGTGCCAGAAAAGAGGAGTCCAAGTAACATCTGGCTGTAACAACCAGCAGGGATTGAATCTGAGAGCGAGCGAGGCTGGAGAACTAGATGCTGCAGGTCTTAAAGGGCTTAAGCACAAACTCACTCGCTCTGGGCTCCAGTGCAAAGGCAGCAGCTCAAAAAATGCCTGGGACATAAGAGGAGAAACTAAATCGACTGGCTTCAGGGCCAGGGCTGGAAGAGCAGGGTTCAGGACAGCTCTCTCCAGTAACAGAAGTACTGGTGGGCGCCACTATATTTTTGTTGACCGTTCCCCCAACCCCACTGTCCCGGCTCAGGTGGGTGCCAAATCTGAGATCTTTACTAGCCTGGCTAACACTATTTGCCTCACCTTAATGATTCCCTGACACTCTGCCTCATCCTACTAGCACACCTGGCCGAATCTCTTCTACTGGCTCCTCACACAAGTAGCCTGCCTCGGCTCATGCTTCAGACTTTCCTAAAATCTATCAAAGGCCCACAAAATGCAAATAAGCAGTAAGTATCTGGCTTTGGTGTGTCCACTACCTCTTGCTAAACCACCTCAAGATTGGCATGACTAGTCTTAACCTGGAAATGTAACTCCCAACAGGTAACCCCAAGCCTAGAATAAGAAGCATCTAGTCTTGGCTTGGAACATAGCCTCAACTAAGTGGCCACAAACGTGGCACAAGTGGCAGCTGGCCTCAACTCACACTGTGATGCCCGCCAGAGGGTTCCAAGTCCAACACTAGTGGCTGCCAGCCTTAGTTCATAAAATAGTCTCATTCAGGAACCTCTCAGCCCAGTGCAAGCAGGAACCAAACACATATTACTCTGTAGCTCCTACTAGACACCCCCAAGCTGGGAACAAGCAGTAGATGAATTTGATCTGCACTGTAGCCCCATTTAAGAGGCTCCAGAACAAACACACCTGGTGGCCAGTACCACACCAGAGCCCCACCCAACTAGCTTCACAAGTTACAAACCTGAAGAGTGTATTTGGCTGGAACTTGAGCCCCACCAGAGTGATTCCTGCTTGTGGGGTCAACCCCTATACAACAGCTCATCCACTATAGTCACAGCCAGTCCTCAGACCCCCTCAGCCAGAAGGTCAAATTGACCCACTGATATGAACACAGGAACCAAGGCTCAACTACAATAGGAAGGTATACACAACCCACATAAGGGACATCTCTGAAGCACTGCTCAGCTGAAGTGACCAGGGAGACTGCATCACTGGGTTGGACAATAAGGCTAAATAAAGCCATGATACAAAGACCAGGAAATGAAGCAGATCTACCTAATACACAGTAACAAATACAGGGAGTCAGCCAAAATGACAGGACAAAACTGTGGAAAAGAACTAAATGGAGATAAGCAATATGCCAGATATAAAGCTCAAAACACTGGTTTTAAGGGTGCTCAATGAACATAGGCAAAGGATAGATGGGCTGAGTGAGAACTTCAACAATGAGGTAGGAAAGGTAAAAAATGGGACAGAAAACATAAAAAAGAATGACTCAGAAATGGAGAATACAATAACTGAACTGAAATGTATATTGGATGGAATCAACAACAGACTGGATGAAGCACTGGATAAAGTCTGCCATCTGGAAGACAAGGCAGTGAAAACAAATTATATATCGTGGTCAAGTGGGGTTTATTCCCAGGATTCAAGGTGGTTCAAATCTGCAAGTCAATGAATAAGATCCACCACAAAACAAAAGGAAGGACAGAATTTGTAAGATCATATTGATACCTGGAGAAAAAGCTTTTGAGAAAATCCAATGTTCTTTCATGACAAAAGACTCAGCAAAGTGGGGATAAAGGGAATGCACTTCCATACACGGCCAGATACGACGAACACGCAGCTATCGTCACACTCAGTAGTGAGAAGTAGAAAGCCTTCTCTCCGAGATTAGGAACAAGACAAAAATGCTCACTCTCATGGGATGTCCTAGCCACAGCAATCAGATAAAAGAACGGAAAAAAGGAAAGAAAGGAAGAAGGCATCCAATTTGGAGAGAAGTAAAGATGTCATTATTTGCAGATGGCATGATACTCTACACAGAGTACCCTACAGATTCCACCAAAAAATATAAGAACTGATAAATTTAGTAAAATAGTGGACTCAAAATTAATATTCAGAAGTTGGTTGCATTTTCATACACCAATAAAAAACTATCAGAAACAAAAATTAAGAAAACAATCCTATCAGTGGATTGAGCGCAGGCCAGTGAA